GGCCTGGATCCGCCGTGGGAGCTTCACGATACAGTACACCGGGGGGAGCGGGTTTTCTTTTCGGACGTTTGCGAGTATGATGAGCCTGTTTTCCACCACCACCACCACCGTGAGTTGCGGGGGGTCCTCCTCCTCCTCCTCCCCCTCCTCCCTCCTCCTCCTCCTCCTCCTCCTCCTCCTCCTCCTCCTCCTCCTCCTCCTCCTCTCCTCCTCCTCCTCCTCCGCCTCCTCCTCCTCCTCCTCTCCTCCTCTCCTCTCCTCCTCCTCCGTCTCCGTCTCCGTCTCCTCCTCCTCCTCCTCCTCCTCCTCCTCCTCCTCCTCCTCCTCCCCCCCCTCCAACCTATAAAGCAGGCCCATGAGAGTAGGCACTCTGCGAGGCGTCGAACGCGCTCGGGGAGCTCCAGGGTCCCGCCCCCGTTCCTGCGGGGCGGCTCTGCAGGCGCGGGCCCTTCCGTGGGTGGCCCCGGCTGGGGCCCGCCGGCGGCCTCCCGGCTCGGCGGGGACTGGCCCGGACGGCCCCGCTCGGATCCCCTCGGAGCCCCGGGCCTGCTTCGTGGCGGCGGCCGCCCGCGGTCCTGTGAGGCAGCTCCGGGGCCCGTGGCCGAGAGCGGGGACACAAAAGCCAGAGGGCTGGGAAGGGGCCCGTTTGTGTGTGTGGGGGGGGGGGACTCGGACTCGGACTCGGACTCGGCCTGCTTCATGCACCGCGAGGGTGCTGCAGGGTGGGGCCGAAGCGCCCAACAAATGCAAATAACAGTGAAACACATTCAGCGTATAGTGAGACTACAACGGGGGGGGGGGGGGGGGGAAAAAAAGTAGACCGACATCGCGACTCCCCAGGGACCTCTCCAGGAGTGCGGTGGGACCGCGACCACCTCGAGGCGAATCCGGCCCTGGCGGCGCGGAAAGGGTACTCGGCGGCATCGCCACCTCGTCCTCCCCTGGGGGGGTTCTTCCTCGATCCTGTGCCCCCTGACGTCCGACGGAGTGCTCCCGTGAGCGGAGCAGCCCCGAAGACACCAGGCCCCATGCCTGGGGGGCAGCTGTGCAGTGGTAGGCCCCATATGGGCCGTTCTCGACGGCCCCGGGGAGGCCCGAGAGCGCGGCCCCCGGGAGTCGACGTCGCGGAAGGGCGCCAGGAGGGACCAACTCAGATCGTCGGGAAATCTGACTTTGCCCCATCAGAGGCCTCATAGAGGGGGCCCGACTACACTCTAGGCGATGCTTAGGAAAACCAGAAAGTTTTCGGCCAGAACCTCGATGATTCTTAATGTTTCAATGCAAATCCCAAGATTTTGATAGAAGTTCTGGGTTTTATTCAAGTTCTGAGAAAATGAATGTCTCAACCCATGATTTCTTAAGCATTTCGCAGGGTGCAGGCTAGAAGTCAAAGCAATCCCCCCCATAATAAGCACCCCGAGACGCGAAGTCGTTCAGGAAACGCGCCCAGAGAAGGAATCAAACGGGGCAGGGCTGTTTAGTAAACGCCCAAGGCCGTTTAGTAAACGCCAGTTGTTCGGTCTGGGTGTTTTTTCCTCCCTTGATAGATGGGGTCGGAGGATCGCGACGCATCGCCAATGCATCGCCGATGCACCGGCGACATCGGCGATGCATCAGCGGCGCTGGCGTCGAGGAGATCGGGCTGCACATCGAGCCGCATCGCCGATGCGTCGGCGACGCGGCGCGACCCTCCTGGGCGATCGACCTCTATCCGCGCCCCTGCTCGCCCCCCGACCCCACGAAGAGCCAGAGCGTTTCTTTTATTCGGCGTTTCGACTTTGGGCGGCAAGGGGGGAGGGGAGGGGGGGGGTCGGGCTCCGTACCTCTGCTGAAAACGCGGCCGTTTGCCACGGTGCGTCCTGCGGGGGAGCCTCCGCCTGCTCGAAACGGGCGCCCAAAACAGCCAGGATCTACTCCATGGGAGGGAGGGGGATGGGGGCGAGGGCCCGCGCCGATCGGCAAAACTCAAGGGGCCCAAGGACACACAAATAAAACCACACAAATAAAGATATTCCCCATATTTCCCCATATTTTCTGGGTTTCTGTCTTCCCCCCCACTTCCCCTATTTTCCCCTATTTTCCTGGGGATCGACGATTAATTGTGTCTGTGTTTTTGCCCCTCCTGAAAAACAAGGAATTAAAAAACGATCACCTCCGGGGTCACGCTTGATCCTAAATGCCCTGCTTCCCTTGGCGCCCCGCGCGGGGGCCAGCAGCAGGGGCAATTATGGATCGAGGGTCGATCGTCGACCTCCAACCCCCGACGCTGACCGCCACTGACCGACACGAATCGACGCCGGCCGGCGCTACAGTCGGCGCGTTGACCCAACGAACCCTAAATAAGGAACGAGGCCCCTTGTTCCATAAGTTAAACTTCGATTTCCCATCGAAAACATAAGGAAAACCTGAGGCAAGCTGTGAAACACTTCAGGAGCACGGAGCCCCTCCCCAACGAAAAGGGTTCCTTCTTCAGCGCCCCGACTGTAATCGACGCCAGTCGACGCCAATCGGTGCTGATCGAAGCTCACTCGACGCCCATCGGCGTGGATTCGGCGCTCTCTCATCGACTGACAGGCGCCAGTGCACGCCAATGCACCCCAAAAATAGCATCTCGAGGACACGCAGGGCTTCCATGATTTGCTTCGGCGGTGGACAAACCTCCATTTAGTAGAACTCCCTTTAGTGAAAACGGCCCAGGACCGAAACCGACGGACCTGGACCCGCAAAAATTACGGCCGCGACGCCCTCTCGCGAACCGAAAACGGCCAATTCACTAATCGACGTGTCAGGGTAGGAGGCCTGTCAGTCTCCGATTGCTTCCGAACGACCCAGTCTACTCGGATCTGGGAGGGCGGGCCTGGCTTCCTGGGCAGCTCTCGGACCTCACGCGGCCGTTCGGGACGGGTCCAGCACCCTGGGAGCGCTCTCGACGAGGCACAGCTCCTGGAGAGGACGAGCGAGCAGCACGCAGCCGTACCCATAGGGGGGACGGAATGTAAGCTATGGGTGCGTGTTGTCGGATGGGGGTCCCCGCTCGAACGGGAGCTCCCCAGGGGTCCGACAGCCCGCACCCATACCCATAGCCAGTCCTTCTCCCTCCGACCTCCCTATGGGTGTGTGTGTGTGTGTGTGTGCGTGCGTGTGTGTGTCTGTGTGTGTGTGTGCGTGTGTGTGTGTGTGCGTGTGTGCATGTGCGCGTGTGTGTGTGTGTAAGTGTGTGTAAGTGTGTGTAAGTGTGTGTGTGTGTAAATGTGTAAGTGTGTGTATGTGTGTGTGTGTTTGTGTGTGCGGGTGTGCGGGTGTGTGTGTGTGTGTGTGCGTGTGTGTGTGTGTGTGTGAGTGTGTGTGTGTGTGTGTGTGTGTGTGGTGTGTGCGTGTGCGCGTGTGTGTGTGTGAGTGTGTAAGTGTGTGTAAGTGTGTGTAAGTGTGTGTAAGTGTGTGTGTAAGTGTGTGTGTGTGTGTGTGTGCGTGTGCGCGTGTGTGTGTGTGTGTGTGTGTGTAAGTGTGTAAGTGTGTGTAAGTGTGTGTAAGTGTGTGTAAGTGTGTGTAAGTGTGTGTGTGTGCGTGCGTGTGTGTGTGTGTGAGTGTGTGTGTGCGGGTGTGTGTGTGTGTGTGCGGGTGTGTGTGTGTGTGTGTTTAAGTGTGTGTAAGTGTGTGTGTGTGTGTTTGTGCGCGTGTGTGGGTGTGTGCGTGTGTGTGCGTGTGTGTAAGTGTGTGTGAGTGTGTGTGTGTGTTGTCCCAGGGCCCCAACCCAGGCGAAAACGCACGGCTCGACAACATGAGCCATGCCACAATCTCGAGGTGGCCAGCTCGTTTGAGCAGGGACCGACCGTCCCGGCATTCCTATAGTCCTACCACGAAATGTTCGTAGAGCCCCAAACTGTTCTCAGAACAAAAGCAATGTTCTTAGAACATTAGCCCGATGTGTTAAAACAAAACAGACACAACCAGAAATGTTCTAAGAACAACTCGTGGGAATCACAAAAGGTTCTTAGAACATCGCTTGGTAGGGCTATAGGCTCGCCGGGACGCTTCGCCACTGCGTGACTCGACAACAGGAGCTATGCCAAGATCTCGAGGTGGCCAGCTCTGAAGGGGCCCTGGGACACACAAATAAATACACACAAATAGAAGGATTTCCCATACTTTACAATATTTTCTGGGCTTCTGTCTTCCCCCCATTCCCATCCTTTCCTATATTTTCTGGGAGGTCGACCGGCATTCCTATAGTCCTACCACGAAATGTTCTTAGAACTCCAAAATGTTCGAAAAACAAAAAGCAATGTTCTTAGAACATTCGCCCGGTGTGTTAAAACGAGACAGTCCCAACCAGGAATGTTCTAAGAACAACTCGTGGGAACCACAAAAGCTTCTTAGAACATTGTTTGGTAGGGCTATAGGCTCGCCAGGACGCTTCGGCACTGCGTGACTCGACAACAGGAGCTATGCCAGGATTTCGAGGTGGCCAGCTCTGAAGGGGCCCTGGGACACACACAAATGAATACATACAAATAAAAGGATTCCCCCTATTTTACCGTATTTGTTCTGGGTTTTTGCCTTCCCCCCCCTTCCCATATCCTCCAATATCTTCTGGGAGATCGACGATTCATTGTGTCTGTGTGTTCCCAGACATGCGACGTCCTGATTTTTTCAGGACGGCGTCCCCGAAATCCCGACCCTTTCCCCAGGACCGGCTTTTCGTCCCGAGTCGTTTTTTGACAGTCCCGAGGCCCGGCGAGGGCCCCCCAGGGCCGAGAATAGCAAAAAACCGCCCGTCCTGATTCTTTTACGACGCGATCATGTCTGGGTTGTTTCTCCCCTCCTGAGGCTCGTGGGGCCGTGGCTCCCGCCCGCCGGCCTTGAAGACCGGCACGCCCGGGCCCGGGCGCTCCACGGCGCAGAGCGCGGCGTGCAGGGCCAGCTGCACGCACCCGTCCGCGTCGAGCTGCAGCTGCAGGCCGCAGAGGAAGCCTCCGCCGCCGGGGGGCCCCGCAGCCGAGCGACGACGAGAGAAGGGGGCCTTGCGTTAAGTCGGGCGTGTCCCCCTACAGGGGGATGTTTGACGAAAGATAAAAGAGTACCCCAAAAATAATCCAAAATGGTCAAGAAATCCTCAAACAATAGTCCCCGGACAATTTTCGGACTATTTTTGGGGTATTTTTTCGTCGAAAATCCCCCTGTAGGGGGACACGCCCGACATAAGCCTTGCGCGAGATGGCCCAGCGACCTTGCGCGGTGGCTTACGCGGGCCAGCGCGGCACGCCAAATTGGAGACGATGGCGGTCACGCGCGGCCTCACGCGGGCAGCCTGCGCGCGAGTGTCCGCTCCGTCGAGCCCGTGGTCCTGCGTCGCCCAGCCGGGGGGCGGGAGCCCGCCCCGGCCGAGGGAGAGGAGCCCTGCAGACCTTGGCGCTGCAGCTCTCCCGCAACGGGCGAGCCTGCCCGGCGTCAGCGGCCCCGGGGCCATCTCGGCTCGATGCGGTGCGAAAGGCGCCCTGCTGGAAGATGGGGCCTGAGGCTCTTCGCGAGGCTGCAGCTTTGCCACAGCGCCAGGGGGGGGAGCGAGGCTGCAGCGGAGAGAGGTCGGGAGGGGCAGCTCTCTCGGGGTGCCTTCGCTGGAGCCTTCTAGAGCCGTGAGAGGCCCGAGGTCAGGCGCCACGAGGCTCCGAGCTCTCGGGGCCTCCAGGTGAATGGCGCGCGGAGGAGCGCGGGGCCCGAGCGCTCAGATGTCGCGCCCTCCGTCGTGGGCGATGGAGGCCCTCCTCTGGTATGGGGGCGTCCTCCGCCAGAGCTCCCTGCTCGCGAGCGTGGGCGGCGAGGAGAGGCGCTCCTGCCCTTAGGCGCCCGCGGCGGTCCCCCGGCAGCTCCAGAGGGGGCTCCATCGAGCCGGCGCTGGGCTGTTGGAGACGGCAGATTCACCTTTAGGGATTTTAGGGATTTTAAGGATTTTAATGGGTTTAGGGACTTTAGGGATTTGAGTGATTTTGGGGATTTTAAGGATATCTCCAGGATTTTGAGAATTTAAAGAAGTTTGGGGATTTTCATGAGTTTAAGGATTTGAGGGATATCTCCAGGGCTCGCTGGGAGACAGGAGCGGCAGATCCCCAGACTTCCCCCCCCAATGGGGGCAAGGCGGGCGTGTGCTGACTGGGCCGGGGCAAACAAAGCGGAAGCTCCACTCGCCGGCTGGACTCCCGCGCGACCCACGAGGGGGCAACCTCGTCCGCTCCGACCTCATGTGGAAGAGGGATCCCACCACTGGAAGATCCGAGCCGACAAAAAGCGGAAGCTCCACTCGCCGGCGGGACTCCCGCGCGACCGACGAGGAGGCAACCTCGTCCGCTCCGACCTCATGTGGAAGAGGGATCCCACCACTGGAAGATCCGAGCCGACAAAAAGCGGAAGCTCCACTCGCCGGCGGGACTCCCGCGCGACCGACGAGGAGGCAACCTCGTCCGCTCCGACCTCATGTGGAAGAGGGATCCCACCACTGGAAGATCCGAGCCGACAAAAAGCGGAAGCTCCACTCGCCGGCGGGACTCCCGCGCGACCCACGAGGAGGCAACCTCGTCCACTCCGCCCTCATGTGGAAGAGGGATCCCACCACTGGAAGATCCGAGCCGACCGACGCACAGGGAGCACGAGGGCGTTGGGACGCCTGGCGTCTGAGCGGGGCGGCCCCGGGACCGGCAGCCGGGGGGGTCGGGGGCAGTCTGGCGGCCTCCGGGAGGGACGCGGGGCGGTGGGCCGGCTGGTCGAAGGAGTTCTCCGCCAGGGCCCGCGGCCCGTCGATCGCGCGGCGGACACTGAGGAAGGCGTGCTCGCTGTTCTTCCTCTGGCTTTATGTTGCCGACGTCTGCTGCTGCCGGAGCTGGGCCCCGGCCTTCGCGCGGCAGCCCTCTCCTTCTCGATCTTCTCTCCTTCTGGAGGCAGTCGGGCCTCCTCTCGTGCATCTCCGGCCCGGCGGGCGGGGCGCAGCTGAGCCTGGCGTCGCGGGCCACGCGCGCCGATGCAAGCCGCGTTGGTTGCTGCTCTTCCATCGTGAGGGCGCGGGGTGGATGCGCGACGCGTGGCCCTCCTCGCGCGAGAAGGCGGCCCGCGTCATTTGCGACGAGGCAAACGCCTGAACCCACGACTGGTACCACCAGAAGGACCAGAGAACCACCCGCCTCCAGCGCAGGAGGAACTCTTCGAGCTCCATCGTGCCGCTGTAGAGCGGGGTCTGGCCCACCTCCGACATCGCCCCCGGCTCCCGGGGCGCCGCGAGCTCCTCCGAGGACTGGAACGGGAATTGCTCCCAGCCCCCAGCCCTCCATCGGCTCGCCTGGGGATCAGTCCTGGACCACCGTGGAAGCGACTTCGCGCATGCTGGCCAGGTCGAATGTGACCCCGGTCGTGCGCCTGCGCGCGGGGCTCGGGCGCCAGGCGAGGGGCCGGCGAGCCGCCTCGCCTCGATCGGGCTGGCAGCTCCGGAAGGCTGGGCCCGCGCCACCAGCGACTGGTCTCGGGATGCTCTGGGGAAGCGGGGGGGAGATCAGAAACGAGGGGGAGGGTCTGACTGCCAGCACACCACGGGCGGCGACGGTCCCCGCCTCCTCCGCCGTCCTGAGCGGCAGCAGCTTCATATCGGCCACCTCTTTCCTGGATCTCTGCGGCGAGCCTGCACTGCTGGACTGGGCGCTGGATGAGGTCGACCGAGGTGTGTCCAGAGGGATGCTGAAAGGGACGACTGCACCGACAATGGATCCCCTCTGAGACGATCGCACAGTTCTCAGGCATGTAGATGACGGCCCCGAGGCGCAGGTAGGGGAGGCGGACACCGACCCTCGACGATCGAAAAGTCACTGGCACCCATGCTCGACAGTCACGTTGGGCACGGAGCCCCAGTCGATGTGTAGACGATAGCCTCGGGCCTCTAGGGCACGCTTCAGCGCGCCCAGCATTATTTTCCAATCAAGCGCGTGATGCCGCCGCGCCCACGAAAGCAGAAGAGCCAGTATCTCGACGTGCCACTGAAATAAGAACCTGGTTCTTGGCAGATCCATGGATGTGCTGAATACGTTTGGCGACGACAGGCTGACCGTGGCCCCACATTCTTATCGCGAAGCTGACGGGATCGGCTGGTCGTCCGGGACGGGCTCGCTGGAAAACTCTACGTAGGACACAGACGAGAAGTCCCCCTCGCCCTTGTTGGAAAAACAAATCGGGGTACCCTGTCACGTTCTTGACTGTCCTTTTCCATGCGGTCGGCTTTCAATACGTAGGGATTCGTGCACGCGACTGCCCTGCGGCCCTTGTCTCCGCAACTCGCGCACCGGGCCTTCTCGAGAAACCCTGTGTCAGCAATGCGTCGACATTCCAGGCGGGCTGTATTCTCGTGGACGATGAGGCCGCGGTCGGTCTTCTTGGCAAACTTCAATCGTCTGGACCCCGTCCAAGTTCGGCACTTATCACGGCGGAGCTTCTCCTGTAAGACGGCCGCGGAAACATGCAGCACCTCCTGTTCCTCCAAGTCCTGCTCCACGGTCTATGGTCCTCCTCCTCCTCATTCCGCTCGTGCTGGCGGCGGTGCTGCTGCGTCACCTCCCCGCGGCGGCGGCAAACTGATTGGATGAAGGCAGCGGTCGCGGTCGCAGTGGCGGTAGCAGAGGCCGCGGCCGCTCCTTCGTTTCCTCCTCCTTCCTCTTCCTCCTCCTCCTCCTCCTCCTTGTCCTCGTCCTCGTCCTCCTCCTCCTCCTCCTCCTCCTCCTCCTCCTCCTCTTCCTTCTCCTCATTCTCCTCCTACCACTCCCTCTTCTCCTCCTCCTCCTCCTCCTCCTCCTCCGCCTCCTCCTCCTCCTGAAGGAGGACCTCATCCCTCGGGGCAGGAGACGCCCCAGATGCCCCTGGCGCCTCCGGCGAAAGCGTCCCCAGCTCCGTCTGCGCGCCCGGAGCCGTTGCTGTTTATTGCTATGAGAACGGCAGAGAGAAAAACAGAGAGAGAGAGAGCGAGCGACTGAGAGCGAGAGAGAGAGAGACTGAGAGAGTGAGAGAGCAAGTGTGAGAGAGAGAGAAAGAGAAAGCAAGAAAGAGAGAGAGAGAGAGAGGGAGGCAGACAGACAGACAAAGGTGACTGCGGCCTCAACCACATCGCGCAAGAGAGAGAGAGAGAGCGAGTGAGAGCGAGCGAGAGAACGAACGAGACACAGAGAGACAGAGACCGCGACTGCGCGGGAGGGACGCGGGGGATAGGCGCGAGGAGGAACAGGGAGGGGGAGGAGGGAGGAGGCAGCAGGGAGGAGCACGATGAGCAGCGAGGAGATGGAGGAGGAGGAGGAGGAGGAGGAGGAGATGGAAGAGGAGAAAAAGATGGAGGAGGAGGAGGAAGAGAAGCAGCGGAACATCTCCATGGGATCGCACCTCGGAACGCAAACCGCGAGGGCATGGATTTCGTACCTCGTGACCCCTCCTGTGTCCTTCGACGAAACCCGTCGCACAGACCTCCCTCCCCGGCATGATCGAGCCCTGACGGCCCAAGGCTCCAAAGACGGCCCCCCCAGACCAGGGATAACCAACAGTACTCCCCGGACCGCTGCCGGAGCGCGTCCCGACCAAGCCGAGTTCGAGGCGAATGACAAAATGAGGGCGGCGAGTGCCCTCCCGGGAGGCCCAAACAAGTCAGAAAAACCAAGGGAATGGTGGCGGCATCGGTACCTTTTCTCCGCTGACAGCCGCCGAGAACGAGGCAAACACTTTTCACGTCGGCGGCTAGGGATAGTAACTGCGCTGGCGGAGGGCTGCCCAAAACGGGGGCGCCGTTGCAGCGAACTGCGCCACCGTGCAGGAAGAGGGGACACGGCAGAGGGAACGGCCGAACGAGGGGCAGGAGGGGAGCGAGGCCGCTCAGGGCGACGGGGAAGGAGGGGAGTGTCGGGGATGGACAGAACCCCCTTTGGCAAAACGTGGCTTCGTGAAAAACCGACCTCGGGCCCAAACCTGGCGGGCGCAGGCCTGCAAAAGGACGGCCGCGGCGCCCCCTCGAGAGCCGAAGACGGACAGCTCACTACTCGACGTGTCAGGGTGGGGGTTCCGTCCGCCCCCCAGAGCGAGGCTTATGTCGGGCGTGCCCCCCTACAGGGGGATTCTCGACGAAAAATTAAACATACCCCACAAATGCCCCCAAAAGGTAAAAGATATTTTAAAAAATGATCCCCAGACTGTTTTTGGACTATGCTTTGAATATGTTGTAGGTATTCTTTTATTTTTCGTCGAAAATCCCCCTGTAGGGGGAAAGGCCCGACTCAAAGCGAGGCAGAACACACCCCCGAGGGTGGGGCAGAAGCCCCGGGGGAGCGGCGCGCGAGCTCGAAAGTGAGCTCGCGCTGCGCGCCACGAGCTCAGAGCACGGCGCGGGAGCTGCGCGAACTACGCTGCCCGTGGTTGGCGCGGAAGAGGGAGGAGGAGGAGGAAGAGGAGGAGGAGGAGGAGGAGGAGGAGGAGGAGGCGGAGGAGGAGGAGGAGGAGGAGGAGGAGGAGGCGGATGAGGAGGAGGAGGAGGAGGAGGCGGAGGAGGAGGAGGGGGAGGAGGAGGCGGATGAGGAGGAGGAGGAGGCGAAGAGGTGGAGGAAGAGGAGGCGGATGATGATGATGATGATGATGATGATGATGATGATGATAATGATGATGATGATGCTGATGGTGATGATGATGCTGATTTCCCGACGTCAGGACCAATATCTGATATCAAAATATGGTATACGCTGAATCCAGACTTGAGAGATCCGTCGCAGAGAGCCGACTGTCTCGCGTTGCCCCGCTTGGGCCAGACTGCCAGGGTGCTGCTCGGAGGGGCCTCCTGCGCAGCGCGTGCCTAGCAGCGTCGAAATGCTAGCTGAATAATATTGGCCGCTTCGTCTTCGGCAATTGAACTCAGGTGGGGTGGGGCCTCCACCTCACGCAGCTCCTCTGCGTGCGCTGGCACGGCAGGGGGGGGGGGGGGCTGGAGGCGCGACGGAGGAGGGCGGGATGTGACCGTGACCGTGCCGCTACTGGCAGGGAGGCTTTAGCCTCGAACAAAAATTGACACGGCGTGGACTCGCCTCCTCTGCGCTGTGGCCTGCGCTGTGGCGCGCAGGCTCGCTCTGGCAGAAAGACAGGCTCGCTCTGGCAAAAAGGCGGGTTCACTGCTCGAGCGTCTCTAGCCAGTGGCTTACCTCCTCCTCGGGACAGCCCGCTGGGGCCACGCCTCGGTGGTGGACCGCCTGGCCCTCCCACGTGGGCGCGCCGATCACCAGCTTCGGCTTGGCGTCGTCGTAGCGGTGCCCGAGCCCTTCGAGCCCTGGGAGGGGCCCAGTGGGAGTCGCCACGACGCTCTCCGCTTGGGCGTCGCCCCCCTGTCCAGGGAGAGTAGGCGTAGAGGAAACATTAGCCACTCGGATCGCCCGCGTGGGCGCTACATATACTCCTGCTGGGCGCTGTGCTGCTTGTCGCCGTCGAAGTGGTCGATGTCTAGGTCTGCTGCGTAGGTCGCTGCCCGCGATTTGTTCCACCGACTGGCAGTTGGACGCGCTTGCATCAGGGGTGTCCTCGATGGCGGGCGAGGGGCGGCATCTGGATGGCGCAGGGCGCGGCGGGGGAGCACTTGGAGTGGCCGAGCGCGTGGTACTCCGTTTCTGGCGCGACCCGATGTTGCACTCGAAGGTGGGGTTTGTCTCGTCGTCGGTGTCCGTCCCGTCGTGCGTTGCCGCCGAGAGGAGGGAAGAGGTGCCCACGCTGGCCTCGGGGGGAGCCTACTGATCCATCTTGACAACTCGGAGGGCCTCCTTGTGTTTGCTAATCTCGGCGTAGGCGTCGTTGAGAGAAGACGCACGGTGGGCGCCCGTCTGGAGCCCAGCAGCAAGTAGGCCATAGTCCCAGCGGATGCTGTTGTTCGTGATGTTTGCGCCGCTGACATGCATCTTGATCTGCATAATCATGGAGATGTGGTCGGCAACATGTAGTAGGCTACTTAGCTTGGTGCGGATGTTCCAATTAAGCTTCGCGTGCTTCAGGATTTCCATGAAGTTGTCGTGGCCGATGAAGTAGTTGATGCTTGACCTGGCTTTGTTGTGCCCGTAGTAGGTATTGCCGACGTCGGTGTGCATGTTGATGGCTGTCAGCTGGTGCGTCAGGAACTTGTCGTGAATCAAGCGTCCGAGCTCGGTCTCGTCGCTGAGTTGGTAGCTGCCGATTGCGTTGCCGGTGCGGCGCTGTCGTGATCGTCGTCCTGGCTCTTGGTTGAGGTCCGCGAACAGGATGGGCATGACGCGAATAGGGATGTCGGTATGCGGTACCCAGCTTCATGGTCGGCGGCATCCTGCTTTCCAGCGTTGGTAATGACCTGCTCCGTTCGGCCGCGGTGGGGAATACGCAGCAGTGAGTCGAGAGCGGAGCTGGCCTCGATGAAGCTCGACGACGCCCGCGCCCCGTAGGTCAAATTGTGGGGGGGTGCTCTACCTTGTCGATATCTATATTGCGGCTTTGGCGCTTGGATACTGCGATGTTGCGACTTACTGAGCTGCTCGTGTGCGCCCCGCGACCCCATCCGAAATGGACCCATGTATGATAGCGGCGGTCCTCGACATGATGCGGGGCGTCGGTAGTGCACTGGCGGATCTTAATGCCTGCGTAGATCATAGTCTGATTCGCACGGCACGTGTCGGAGATGTGGTCGAGATGCCCTGGGACATCCAGTAGTCCTTCGCGAGCTGGGTGTGGATGTAGTGGTCCAGGTGGCAAGTCACGTTCGGCGTGCAATTGTTCCACTGGTAGAAATTCAGGAGCCGCGTGGTGTGATCCTGCATGTGCTGGCCCTCTGTGTTCTGCCTCGATGTCCTCGGTCTCCGCTCGGTGCAGGCGGTTCCGAATGGCACCCTCCATGGGGCCGCCCACGTCACACTTGCACAGTCCTTCCAAGATCGCCAGCGCGAAGGGCGGCGCTGGCGACCCTATCTCCTGCAGGCGTTTCTTGTCCTCTGGGGTGTCGCTCTTCCTGAGGGGGGGGGGGGCCCAGGGAGTACTTGTAGCCTTCGATCTCCTGCGTGATGGCTATGATCCCTGGGAGCTCTTTCCTCATCGTGTAGGTGTCCGTAGTGTTGCTGCCATTCAGCCTGGTCTTGTGCGTCGTCTGAAGCAGCATGTGGCAAGTCACGTTCAGCGTGCAATCGTTCCACTGGTGGCAATTCAGGGGCCGCGTGGTGTAGTTCTGCATGTGTTGGCCCTCTGCGTTCGTGAGGATGTTGCAATTGAAGCTCAGCGTCCAGTAGTTCGGGGTCAGCTTGTCGTAGTCCTGCCTGTGCTGGCCCTCTGTGTTCGTGAAGATGTTGAACTTGAAGCTCAGCGTCCAGTCCTGCACGTACTGGCCCTCTATGTTCGTGAGGATGTTGAATTTGAAGTTCAGCGTCCAGTCGTTTAGGGTCAGCGTGTTCCTGCATGTGCTGGCCCTCTATGTTCGTGATGATGTTGGAGTTGATTTTCAGTGTCCAGTAGTCCTTCGCAATCTGGTTGGGGTAGTCCATGTGGCCAGTCACGTTCAGCGTGCAATTGTTCCACTTGTGGCAATTCATGGGCCGCGTGGTGTGCCTGTGCTGGCCCTCTGTATTCGTGATGATGTTGAAGTTGAAGCTCAGCGTCCAGTAGTTCAGGGTCAGCGTAGCGAGTCCTGTGCTCAGCAGGTGCGCGGCGCCCGCGCTCCGGAGCACGGCCATGGCGGCCTGGCGGTGTGCGGGGCGTCGTCAAGCGGCCCCCTGCCTTTTGGGCATGGCGAGAGGGCGGTGACTGGAGGCCGCTGCTCCATCAATGGCCTGAGCGCGCGGCGGCCTTATGATGATGATGATGATGATGATGATGATGATGATGATGATGATGATGATGATGATGAGGAGGAGGGAGGAGGAGGAGGAGGAGGAGGAGGAGGAGGAGGGAGGAGGCGGAGGAGGAGGAGGAGGAGGAGGAGGCGAAGAGGAGGAGGAGGAGGAGGAAGAGGAGGAGGAGGAGGAAGAGGAGGAGGAGGAGGAGGAGGGGGGAGGAGGAGGAGGAGGAGGAGGAGGAGGCAGGACATCCACAAAGAAAGCAAAGGACGGCTCACCTTTGTACCCGCAGCGGCCGGCGCGCACGGGCGGCACGGGGTACCTCTGCACCTTCACGCCTCGGGGGGGGGGGGGGCGAGCGCGGACAGGCGCGGACGGCGCGACGAATGAGGGGCCACATGCGAACCCTACACCTACCGCCCACGAGTTCTGAGGGGGAGGGTTGGATTCACGTCGTTCGGGAGCTCCCGAGCAAAGTGAACCCCACCCTCCCCCTCAGAAATCGTGGGGGGTAGGGGTAGGGTTCGCATGTAGCCCCCTAACAAAGTCGGAGGGCAGCACCACGCAAAGCAAGCAGCGACGGGAAGCCGTTGGTCACTTGCGGGCCCCGGGGCCGTCGCAGAACGACTCCGGAGGAAAAAAACTTGCCCTGGGGAAAGAGTCGCGACTTCACTTCTGGGAACCCCGTAGGGGAACCAAACAATAGACATCACAGGTCTGGGAAAAAACCCAAAGCAAGTCCAACGCTCTGCACTGAAAGGCCATGCAACGCAAAGCAATGCGAACGCAGTTCGCAATGCAGTGCAAATAAGCGCAACGAGATTCACCACGGCAATGGACAATGCAAGGCACACGTATCGTGCAGCACGATGCGGCGCGACAACAGGTTCACTGGATTCCGGATAGACGGTAATACGGTGCAGGGAAACGTATGTAAAGTGCAACGCAGCGCACGGCAACACAAACTGAACACAACAAACGCGGGGAGCTCGTCGTCGTCGTCGTCGTCGTCGTCGTCGTCGTCGTCAGCGTCGTCGTCGTTGTCGTTCTGGTCGTCCTCGTCGTCGTTCTCGTCGTCGTCGTCCTCGTCCTCATCGTCGCCGTCTGGAGCTCGGGAAGCCATGGGGGAACCGGCCCGACTTAGAGAGAACCTCTAGAGGCCGATCACGCACCGAGGATCCCTCCCCGACGGCCGCGGGCCCCTTGATAGAAGCCGCTCCCATGGGGTCCGAGTAGATGGGGTCGGAGGATTGCACCAGATCGACGACGAACGGAGGACAGAGCGATGTATCGCCGATGCATTGGCGATGCCTCGGCGATGCATCGGCGACGTAGGCGATGCATCGCCGACGTCGGCGTGGCGAAATCGGGCTCCACATCGGGCCTTGCCGATGCACCGGCGATGCGGCGCGATCCACGGAGCCCACCTGCTCTGACCCCGTGCGGGAGGCCTCGAAGTAAGCGGCTGAGAAATGATCTCTTGGGCACAGCCTGATCCTGAGATCCAGGCTCGGGAGCGGCCAAGAGGGGGTGTCCAAGAGGGAGGGGTGCAAATCATGACCGGCGGCATGTGCGCGGCCCAGCGGGGGGGCCAGGGACGTAATGGAATAAGAAGAGGCGCCATGAAATCTAGGGAAATATCATGGCCCCCGCCATGATATCCACCCCCCCCTAGTCATCACCCCCCTCTTTTCCGCCCCCGACAGGCGCCTCGACTTGTTCGAGCCGGGCGTCTTCGCCTCCGGGCTCGGGCCCTGCGGCCCTCACACAGTCGATCCGACGCGAGCAAAAAATAAATCGCGCAGAAGGCTTGGGGTCCAGGGGAAGGGGGTCCTCCTCCTCCTCCTCCTCCTCCTCGTCCTCCTCTTCCTCCTCCTCCTCGTCGTCCTCCTCCTCCTCCTCGTCGTCGTCTTCCTGCTCCTCGGAACTTTTACCGATGTCTCAATGTTGCTCGCACCGTCGGATTGCAAGGGGCCTTCCAGCAGAGCAAGGCAAGGCTGCACGAACAGCTCGCCGAGACGCGCAGAACCATCCTGTCTGTCCAATCGCAGACGCAGAGTGCTTCGCTGAACAACTCGCCGTGTGGAGGCGCCGCCCGCGTGTTTGTCAAAATGCTTACGGCGGCTCGAACTGCCCAGAACAACAAAACCTCGCCATCGCCTGAAGGCAGAACTTTGTCCGCAGCTTCATTTTGTTTCCGCCGCCCGCCTTCCGCCGAGGAAAACAAGTCAAGATCTTCGATCCTCGAAGGGCCAACCCTTCTTGGACGGCCTCCTCTGTCCCAGGCTGGGCGAGTCGCGCCGGGGCAGAGGAGAGGCGGGGTGTGATGCCGGCATGCAGCGGGGAGCGCGGGGTACCGCGCAGACCGACTCGGGCACGGGCAGGTGCCGAGGGAGGGGGAAAGCTCGGGCACATGTCCGTGGAAATCGAAAGGGTCGCGGAGGCGAGAGGGGCAAAGCAAAGGGGAAGGCGAGGAGGAGAGAGATGGGTGGGGGGGGGGGCGAAGCAAGGCAAGGGGGGGAGTGATAAAGCGCGAGGCAGGGAGAGTGAAGGCGGAGGGGAGCGCAGTGAACGTCAGAGGTTCCCCTCACCCCCACCCTCCTCCTGTTCGCCCTGCGCCTCGTCCCTGTGATCCTCCTCCTCCTCCTTTTCCTTCTCCTTCTCCTCCTCCTTCTCGTCCGTCTCCTTCATGATTATATCGGTTCGATTCCTCTCTCTCTCTCTTGTTATAGGTATGTACGTTTGTATATACAGGTTAATGTAAATGTACATGTATGTATGTATGTACGTATGTGTGTGTGTTTGAAGGGATGGCTGGATGGACTGATATATGGATGTATGGATGTGAGTATCGGTGTATGTATACAGGCACGTATGGATTGATCGATGGATGGACGGAAAGATGGATGCGTACATGATATATATATATATATACATATATATATAGATACGTATGTTTGTTTGCGTGCACAACGTATGTTTGTATGCGTGCACACATGTATATATGTATGTATGTATGCATGCATGTATGCTTGTATGTATGTAGGTGTATGCATATGCATGTTTGGATGTATGTTTGTTTACATGTCTGTATGCACGTATGTGTGTATGGGTGCATGTATGTATGCATGCCGCTCGAAATCGGAAAGGGCCCACACGAGGTCCACTGGAACCTACTCGGATATCCTGGTGAGCCCAACAAGGGCAAGCGCCGCCCTCCGAATGTCAGTAGGTTGGTCGGCCCACCCATCCACATTGTGCGGCTGCGGAAGAACACGAACAGTGTTGCACAAATGATGAACCATAACAATCGCCTCGATCTCTCCGGCAGTGGGGGATCCAGTGACACTGGCCCTCGAGAACAGACAAGACGGCACCTGGACCCCTTGCGGGTCGGCTAGATTCCACATGACCTCGCATTGTAGGTAGCGGGAAAAGGTGTCGCGAGCGGGAATGAGAGGACACTCGCGACAGATGAACCTACGCGGCTGGACCCCATCCTGGGTGTGGAGCCTGGCGGAGGTAAGCCAGGCTCCCGAGGTCGTCTAAAGCACAAGGACGGGGCGGGCTTCGAGAGGGCAGTTCTAAGCGGTGGCCGCGAGTCGGGAACGACCTCGAGCCCCCAGGATTTCTGACGCCGCGCCAGGAGGAGGTGGAAGACATCAGGAAAGAGGGGGGCATGGAGACAAGCGCCTCCGCTCTCCGCCTCAGCACAGCGGAGGGCCTGCCGCGTGGAGGCCGCGGGGAGCACGAGCGCAGCCTCGTTCACGCATCCCGCCTCGGCCTCGGCGAGGCCCAGCACGAACGGCTTGCAGCGCCGGAACGCCGGCGACAGGTTCTGATCGCCGATGGCCAGGAGCGCGCCGTGCTCCGAGGCCTGCTCCGCCAACCGTCCGTGCAGCTCCTTCCAGTTGGCGGCGGTGACGCGAGCAGCTCGCATCAACGAGGCCGCGCCAGTCACCGCCATGGAGCGAAGCCGCAAGCCAGGCGCCCAGGAGCCCGCCGACCTGACGTCGTGACAGGACAGCGCCTGATGGGGGCCAGCTCCAGGCCTTCGCGAAGGCCGCGCCTCCTTGGCAAGCAGAGACGCGGGCGCGGCCGCCAACTGCTGCAGGTAGCCAGGCACGGGAAGGGCGCGCTGATTGCACAGGCGCGCGGCGATGGGCGGGGGCGCCCCAGGAGAGGCTAGGCCCATCGCCCGCGCGAACCACTTCGCCGCCGCCTTCCTCCAGACATCCGCCCCTCGCGCGCCAGGGCCAATGTCGAACCCGAGGTGCTCGGCCTTGCCCGGGATGGACATGCCCGACCACGCAGGGAGGTGCCCCAAGAGCCGCGCGCGCAACTCGCACGCGGCGGCGCCCGAGAACTCGGGGACCAGCGCTGCCAGAATGCATGCGTGGAGCTGCACCTGCAATCGCGCCAGCGCGCGCGCCGCCGCCCCGAACGCCCTCCAGAGGCCGAGGGGGAAACGGCGGGGCTGGAGCGCGCAGCCCACGTCATCAGCGCATGCCCCGAGAGCTGAGAGGGGGCTCGTGTCCGCGCAGCGCACCATGCGGTGGATGAGAAGGGTTCATCGCGTTGGCCCACATGCTGCCCGATGACGGGCAGCCATTGGCGATCCCGCAGGCGATGCAGGCGCAGCGCGTCCATGACCCAGCCAACTACACGGAGGCGGTGGGGAGCCAGTAGGGGGGGGGAAGGTGTGCAGGAGGCCGCCTTTGAAACCCGCGAAGACCAGCATTCCCGCCATCCGCTCCGCAACGAGCGACGGGACAGCATCGCCGAAGTCGAAGAGCGCAAGCAGTGGCTTTGCAAGCGCGCTATCCTGGGCGCCCGCCGCCTTGGCCGTCGCGTCCAGCAACGCCAGGTTGTCCAAGAAGTTGCGGCCCTTCAGGAAGCCGCGCTGAGGCGCAGGCGAAGCGCTCTCCACCGCGGCCTCGATGCTGGCGTTGGCGGCGGCCACCAGCTTGCAGTCGGAGTTCGCAAGCGCGATCGCACGCGCGGCGCCGGGCCCGCGGAAGGCGCCGTCGACGATGTCCTCCTCCATGGAGCCCTTGGGGAGGAAGGCCAGCAGGTGGTCATTCGAATCAACTGGGGGTGCCCCACCCATCGCGACCTCCAGAACGACGTCCTCAGGTGCGCCGACGGCGGCAGGACGGCACCGCCCGGCGAAGTGCGGCAGACCGTCGGGCCAAGGGGCCGACGCCTTCGCCCTTGATGCAGCACGCGCGAGGGCAAACCTGTCGGGCGGCAGGATCCCCTTCCACCGGTAGCTTGGCGCGTGACCCTCCATGTACTTCAGCGAGAGCCGCTGCCAGTCGGCGACCTGGGGCTTGAC